ATATTAATATTCTACAAGTTATTAAATCCCTAATGAAAATTTGCTATTGGAAACTGATTAGTTTAAAAGAACTAAAGCTATTCTTAACTTTAATGAAAGGAAAGTAAAGTTCAGATATCTTACAAAATCTGCCTCTGTTTCAATTACTTTTTATGATAATTCTTCTGTTGAATTAGATAAAGAATCTGATACATCTATAGATAAACTAATCAATGTAATTGAAGATCTAACTTACAATGACCAATATGAAGATAAATATCTTAACAAACAAGATATCTTTATTTAATAGTGAAGAAGACTTTTCTGATAAAGAGAGTTTATTTGATTTTGACAAAATGAGCTATTTGCCAACCCTTAGAATAACAATCTAACAGTATTCTTAGCTTAAGCAGAATAGCTAAAGCCTCAAAATAATGAATGGAATATTCAAGAAGACTTATATATTAAACCCTTGGATGCTAATCAACAAGAAATTTTCAAGCAATTCATTGAAGAAAATAAAGATATCTGTATTCTTAGTCAAACAAAAATTGGTTATATAACTTTGTTTTAACATCAAATTCTTACAAGAGATTATGAATCAATTGTTAGCCCTGCATATCATTTGGAAGATCTATATAAATTGAAATTCCTCTAAGAAGAAATTAAACGAATGAAAGAAAATGACATTATCCAAAAGTCAAAAAGCCCTTAAGCTTTTCCAGTCATTATTGTATCTAAAAAAACTAGAGATACATGTATTTATATTGATTATAAGAAACTTAATGCTATAACTAAAGGAAATGCTTATCCCTTCTACTTATTGATAACTTACTTAAGAAATTTAGAAATGCAAGTTAGTTTTCTATACTCGATCTTGTTAGTGAATATTAACAAGTAGAAATGGAAGAGAGTGATCATGAGAAAACTGTTTTTATCTGCTTATATTGTCTATATGAATTTAAAAGAATGCCTTTTGGATTAAAGAATGCTCATAGAACCTTCTAACGCTTAATGAATTTTGTTCTACAAGAATACCTCTATAAGTTTATAGCAGTATATTTAGATAATATTATCATCTACTCAAAAATATACAAAGAATATCTACAACATTTGCAAATAGTATTCGAAGTAATCAGAAAGGCAAATTTAATGATTAAATTGAAAAGGTGTCAATTTTGCCTTCCAAATATTCTGTTCTTTGAACACATTATAGAAAGAAGTGGTTTGCAATCAGATCCTAAAAAAATTCAAAAATTTAAAGAACTCCAGCTCCTAAAGGATTAATTAAATTAAGAGCAATCTTAAATTGTTCTCATATTATTAAAAGTTTGTAAAAGGATTCTCTCAAATTACTAAATCAATAACAACCTTATTAAAAAGGATGCTTCTCATATTTGGACAAACAATCAACAAAAATTTTTTGATAAATTAAAAGAGAAACTGATTACATTGCCAATCCTTCAATATCCTGATTTCTTTAAGAAATTTATACTCTATACTGACGCCTCAGAAGTAGGACTTAGAATAGTATTATCATAAATAGATGATAATAAAAATGAACATGTTATTACGTATGTGAGCAAAAGCATGAACAAAGCTAAGCAAAATTATCCAATTACAGACTAAAAATATTTAGCAGTAGTTTGGATTATTAGGAACTTTTATCATTATTTTAGCTCTAAACCCTTTACCATCATAACTAATCACTCTACCTTCAAATAGTTGAGAACTTCAAAATACTAAAAAGATGATGGATAATAGAGTTGCAATAATATGACTTTAGTATTCAGCATAGACCTGGAAAAAATAATACTAATGCTGATGCATTATCTCAATTAATTCCTAAAAGAAAACAAGATAATTCCTTAAAGAAGTTTTTATGCTCACATCGAATGAAAATGATGATGAAGAAATAGAATGGTATATTTCTTCTAAAATAGTGAAACTTTATCAGAATGATTACAAGAATAAATAGACTTTGAGGAAGAACTTATATCACAATACTTCTATGTATCTTTAATTACTGTAGGATATTAATGTCTTAAGAATGAATTAGAAGATATTTTTAAAGAAAATATCAAGATTAAGCAAGTTATAACTAATCAACTAATAACTAAAGGAGGATCACAATGTAATTATAATTGTGATATTAAAAATCATCATATCTATATATATTGCAAGACGTATAAAAGAGATTTACCATATGAAATGATCAAACATCATTGTATCATTGAATTCGACCTAGAATAGATTTAACCAGATATAAATCCTAATTATTTAATTAATAACCTTTGGTAGGATGAACTAATTTTAGTTCAACAAGAAAACCTTTATTCTCAACTTTATTACATACTTGAAAACCCTAAACATCTTCTTATTTCTCACATTTAAATATCTTAATTTATACCCATATTTATTCAAGTAATATTAGTAATAATTATTTAGAGTGAAAGTAAAAGTATCTACATTGTGATAGGTAGCTCAAATATCATGGAACTCAATCAATATAATAATTTATTTGTTTATATAACCTTAAATTAATTACTCACATCTTTTAACCAAATGAAATTGCAAAATTAAAGACAATTAAAATTTTATACAGTTTGACTTGATTTTTTATATAAAAGCAAAGACAAAGAAATGCCCCTGAACAGTTTCTAAGGGTTATCAAAGAAACTAAACTAGATGCAATCCTTTATATGATGCATAATAATCTAATTGCTAGATACTTTTCTACTAATATCATGTTTAACAAAATTCGTACTAGATATTATTAGCCTTAAATATATGAAAGTATCAGAAAATATGTTCAATCATATGATGCTTGCCAATGACGAAGAAGACCTAAAATAAAGAATGAATTATATCTTATTTCAGTTGATTCACCATTATAGAATTGGAATAGACTTTGTTGAACTTTTGTCATGAATTAGTAGAGGAAATAAATATTTCATTGTTGCCATGAATTATTTAATAAAATAGTTAAAAGCTAAGCAGTTAAGGATGCTACTGCTAAAAATGTTGTTAAGTTCTTATATGAGTATATTATTTGCTGACATAGATGTCTAACTAAGATCTTATCAGATAAAGGATCTCATTTTAATAATCAATTAGTTATAGAATTAATAGAACAATTTCATATTCGTCATAATCTATCTACTTCTTATCATCTAAGACAAATGGATTAGTAGAAAGATTCAATAGAACTCTATATGAATTATTAGTAAAATTGGCTAAAAGATCTACTCAATGGGACTAATATATTTCTCCTGTTTTATTTGCTTATCGTATAAGCAAACAATTAGCTACAAAAATTGAACCTTTTATTTAGTTTATAGACGAAATGCAATATTACTTATTGATAATTCTAATGATCTTAATGACTTTTATACCAACCAAAATTTTACTATTCAAGAAAGAATTGATCATCTGATCAACAAATTACCTCTAATACAACTAGATGCAAAGGTACGAATACAATTTGCACAATAGTAATAAAAGAAGTACTATGATAAAAATATAAGGATCTCTGTTTTACATAAAATTGGAGATAAAATTTTGTATTTTGAAGTTGCAAAAAATAAAACCCATTCTGGAAAATTAGATCAAAAATGGAAGAGGCCCTATTATATCTATCAAATCTTACTAAATGGTTCTTATAAGATAAGAGAATTAGATAGTTGTGTACTTTGTAGTCTAGTAAATGGAAATCTTTTGAAAATATATAAAGACCATCCTTTTCAGAATTAGATTTTCTTTTTATTTCTTATTATTATTTCTTGATATAGAATAACTTTATATTGAAGATTTGAATGAAACTTTGTCTAAAGAAATAACTCTTGCTATTCCTCCATATTCAAATGGAGTAGACTTACAAAGAAATTTTAAATGACATATTGAATATTATTAAAAGCTTCACGAATGAAAGACTGGACTTTTACTTTGATAAATGCTTATTATTTGGGAAAACTTTTATAAACAGAAACTTTTTCATCAGCATAATGAAGTCAATTAAGAAGACTTGTTGCCAAATACTATAGTTCTGTCTCAATATGTGTCTATTATCTCTATAAAATGCTAGGTGTAGATCAAATTCAACGAGTAAAACATATATCATTGAAGAATCTTTATCAACTCCCTAGTTATATATACTAGTCTCTAGTAAACAAAGCTATGGATATTTGGACAGGAGCTCAAAATTTAGAAGGAGAGGATTGAAGCTGTGATCTGTGACTGCGCTAAAAATAAGTCATGTGATCTAAATGATCACATAGTTGCTAAAGTTGTCAACGTTGATCCAGTAGACAAGTTAGATAAATGAATTATAGTTATTATATTTATTAATTATATCTTATTTATTATATTTGTTATAGTTGATTTTATATTATTTAATTTTATATAAATATCTTGTATTTTCTCTTGAGTTGAAAAGTAACTCAAGTTGAGGTTTTAGGATAAACCAAGAGTTCAATAAAGGAATCGTTAAATTCATTTACTATTGCCTTTTGTCGTATCTTCATATATGCGTGATTGTGATATTGTCTTGTATTTAATTCGACGGATTGAATTCAAAGTTTATAGTTTAAGTTTACAGATACCCAGCCAACAGTGTGACTAAAACTCTAATAGAAAAGTATTCAGAAATTTTACGCGTATATGGGATTTAACGGTGAGATAAACTACGAGGCGCTGTTGAAAAGCGGGCTATTTCTCAAAGTAATGTTTAACAAATTTATTAAAAAAAAAAAATTAGCCCGTGCTTATGTTTATAGAAAATCTATCTTATAGCATTTATAATCTAACTGTGTTTATTGATATAGATGAACGGACATGTTTGAGAAGTAAAACTTCCTGTTTTGAACTATTTAGGAAGTTATGCGTCAGAAATTTTAATCATTGTTCAAAGATTCGTATTATTAAGGAGCCAAGGAAATTAAAAAAAAAATTCGGTTAGTATATAATGAAGTTCAATGCATAAAACTTTCCTCCTTCGACTAATCTTTCAAATAATGATTTATCTAATTGATAATTTTTCCCAAGATAGAATCCATACTGAGAGAATAGGTAGCGATATTCGGTCGAAGCTGCTTTGGATCTCCAATCAGTATTATATGCTGAATTGAAGGGGTTAGTGCTCTAAGAATATGGGCCTCAAGTACTTCACCAGCCTCTTCACAAACAATAATTCTGGGACAATAGACCTAATTAGAGCTTGAAATTTAGCTGCGCCATATGTGGTCATACTAATAACATCACTAACTAATAATATTCGACGACGACCTTCATCATAAATTTCATCCATTTCTTTTCGTTGATTATCGTGACTATTTTGTAAATTTGATAATTCTTCTATAAGTTCACCTCGAACTTTGGTACTCTAACAATCATTAAGTATTCTTCTTTCTACTCTTGACATTTGCCAAATTGAATAGGTACTTAATAATTCTTCTATGGTACGGTTAGTTTTTGGTACTACATAATCTATTATCCATTGTAATGTTTTATAATCGGTTTGTGTTTCGCCATCATCACTTGTGATTTCTTCGATTTCATCTTCAACCTTTAATGCATCATATGTATTCGGGCTTGGATCCTTTTTATTTTTCTTATTTTTCTGTGGTGGATTTGAAAACGCTTTCTGTGTTCTTCTAATTATTTCAATATTTTCCCCATTTACCCATCTCTCGAATAAAGGACGTTTCTTCTGTTTTTTCCTGGTCGTAAACCCTTCTTCAATATTGAAAACCCAGCTAGGTAAATCACTATCATTTGCTTTACAAAAAGCATCATAGAATGTTTTTCTTCATTCATCAGATATTGTCGTATATCAGCCCATTTCAACCCTTTTTAGAATAAAGTACTTTTGATTTTATTAACTCTATCCTCAATTTCTTCTAAATTCTCATGTAATAGTGCCATTAAACGGGATTCTGTTTTGTTACGGGCGCGGCTTTTGCAAACTTCTTCAAGACAAAATTCTTTGATCATATCAGATTTTGTTCGAGATCCTAACCTGACTATATTCGTTATTTTTACATCAAGCAAATGCTGTGAAGGGGGAGTGTAAGCAAATAAAGTATGTTAAAGACGATATGGTACATTTCAGATTCAATAGAATAAGGATAATTCATTGTACTGTACCTCCAAAAATTGGTCAAGAGCATGATTAGTAAAACAAATGGTAAGAATAGGACCAATTTTTTGTTTTTCGATTTCTTTGGCAAATAATACTTTCATTATCTCAATACTAACTACAGTTTTTCCAGTACCAGGTGGTCCTTCAATTAAAGCAATTTCACGTGTTAAAGCAGAGATAAATGCATTCGCTAATGTAGAAAATTATAAAAATATGTTAATAAATTTCTTTTTTTTTTGAAATCATACTTTACTATATACCTTGAGTTTCATCTAATTTGCAACTTTCATTAATTTTTTTTGCTACTTCATCATAATTGTCTGTTTATGCAACATTTAATTTCAAATTTTTATTTTTATTTCTACATATAACTGATAAATCAAATTCAAGACTAGTTGCTCTAGTATATAGTGGAGGTTCAACTTCAAAATCTATAGCATTACTTGATATATTATTATCTTTCCCTTTCCCAT